GGGGAGCGGGGACGGGGAGCGGGGAGCGGGGAGCGGGGAGCGGGGAGCGGGGAGCGGGGAGCGGGGAGGCCTTCCTCTGGCCTTGGCATCAGCCGGCACTAGGCCGGGGCTCACAGACAGGCTTTCGTGCTGCGCACGTAATTCACCCACCCACGCTTCTCAGTGGTTAGAGAATGAAGTCACTTGCTTTGTCCTCCGCAAACATTTACAAACAAAACTTTTTCGCAGACCCTTACTTACGGTCGTTGGGGAGGTGATAGACCTGTGCTTGAAGATGTCTCCAGCACCGTCAAAACTTCCTTCTGACTCCGTTCGACCTTCTCTGTGCCATATATGTAGGGGCTGTAAACTCCAGTATGATAGATACCCCAATCTGAGAAAAAAAAAAGAATGAGCAGGAAAACTGAGATCGCGATGTGTCTCAGTGACTTTCTATTTGGCTGTGGGCGGCAGAGAAGTGGGAGTTTTTCAGTTGTTCTGTAACGGCTCTCGATGAGCATGAGTCAGTGATAAGACTCAAGGATCTCTCCAGAAACTTGTTCTGAGACTTCTCTTTTTAAAAAAAATTAATTATTTTTAATGGAGTCCTGGGGGATTGAACCCAGGATCTCGAGCGTGCTAAGCACACGCCTTACCAAGACCTCTTGATGATAAAGAAGCCAAAGTAAAATGCTCCTTTTTCAATCAGAGTCCATAATTTTAGGGAAGAAGACGATTACTTGGAGGTAGTTTATAGTAACGATATTTATAGTTGACTCACCTTTAGGGAAATCCCATGCCTTTGAAGCTACTCCATGAAAAAAACTAAAATGATTTCATAAGTTTGGGAAACCAACCCTTCCCTTCCTTATGGAGCGTCATTGACATCTGAAGGGTGTTCTGAGAACTTCTACAGCAAAGAACCCTGGAAAGACTTCAGGCTAAACAAACAAACAAACAAGTGTCTAATGGTGAGTGTTTCAGTTGTCTGCTGTGTGAGTGCATATTATAATCATTCCCTTCTAGCTCCTCTACAAAATCTTTAGTAAAACTTTGAGGTGAAGAGAGTGAGTTCATGTTTTGGGTGAATGTGAAGAGTTGTTGGGGGTATGGTAAAAGGAAAGGCTGGCTTTGGGGGATGGCTGACCTATGGGTTCCATGGACAAGGCAGAGTGGGGTAAATCGGGGTGCTATGGTAATTCAGAGGAGGGACTTGCAAGGCAGGTTTGACTAAATCAGAGAAGGCTTCCTAGATGTGATGTTTAAATTGAAACTGGCTGATGAATGGGAGTGATCCATGTGTTCCAGTTATCATTGCTGTGTAACAAATTACCTCTTAAAAACTTAAAGCCTTAACCATTTCGTTTTGCTCACAGTTGGAAGGGTCAGGAAACTGGGAATTGGATGAGTCTCACCTGGAGTCTCTCCTATGTTTGCAGTCATCTGAGGGCTAGTGCATTGGCTTTCCAGAGCTGTTGTAAAAAAGAGTCACAAACGGAGGTTCTTTAAAACAACAGAGATGTTATTTCTTGAGATCTGGAAACTAGAAGTCCACAATCATGGTGGTCAAGATGTTGGCAGGGCCATGCTCTCTCTGAAGACTCTTAAGGGAGGATCATCCTGGCTTTTTCCTAGCTTCTGGTGGTTGCCAGCAATCCTTGCCTTATAGATGGAGCCCGTCCATCTCTGCTTCGTTGCTACATCGTGTTCTCCCTGTCTGTCTCTTCACAGGGTTGTCTTCTTGTGTGTGTCACTGTGTCCAAATTTCCTTCTTCTAGTAAGGACACCAGTCACTAGATTAAGGACCACTTTAGTCTTAAATGACTTCATCTTAACTTGGTTGTGTCTCCAAAGACCATATTTCCAAATAAGGTCGTATTCACAAGTTCCAGAGGTTAGGACTCGACATGCCTTTTGGGGGGACACAGATCAACTAGAATAGTTAGTCAGAGCTGAATATCTAAGATGTCTCACTCACATGACTGGCTGTTGAGGCTGATTGTCAGCTAGGAGCTCAGCTGGGCTATTGATCAGAGTGCCTAAGTGTGGTGATCTGAGAGAAATTGAACTTCTTATGTGGTGGTTGATACCCCCAGCCTCAACTCCTTCCTTCTGCAAACATCCTGAGGACTAGGAGGTCATTGCCTTTTCTAGCCTTGCCTCAGAAATCATAGAGCATCACTCTTGTCTTACTTTATTGGTTTCAGCAGTGACAAGCCTGCCCAGATTCAAGGAGAGGGGACATGGTCCACATCTCCCAATAGAAGGAGTGTCAGAAAATTTGCAGGTTTGTTTGACAGTTGCCACACCAAGGAGAAGGGAATAGTGATGGAGCTGGTGCTGGTGAGAACCAAAATGGAAGGTCTAGGAAGACGCCAGATCTAGAGCACTTTGCAATTCATGTGCAGTTGTTTCCAAATGGTTGCTCAAAGGCTAACTAGTATGAGACCTTAAAGAGAGTACACAGAAAATGAGATGTACATGCAATTTTCTGTAAAGATATGATTAAACTCAGGAAAAATAACTCCTCCTCCTCTTCTCTCCTTATTCTCTCCCTCTCTCCCTCCCACTTTTTCTTTTACTTCCCCAAGCATATAGTAGAAACATTGACATTTATTTTATAATACAGAATCAAGTTGAGGCACTACATATGTGTCTAGCCATGATCTTTACTTATAATACAAGTAAATAATGTCTTAATTCACAAATTAATAAATTGATATTCTCTAATATATATTGTAGTACCAAACAAATGTGCATATTTTAGAGTTAGGGCAATCTAATCACAGGCTAGTTGTGTTGCTTCAGTTTAAAATGTTTTAATTCACAAATTAATAAATTGATACTCTCTAATATATATTGTAGTACCAAACAAATGTGCATATTTTAGATTTAGGGCAATCTAATCACAGGCTAGTTGTGTTGCTTCAGTTTAAATAACAAAACTATATTGAAAAAAATCAACGAAGGCAAGACATCAAATATTAAAGGTAATAATTTGAGAGTGATGGCATTTTGATTTTTTAGTTCCTTCTTTACACTTTTCTATAGTTTCTAAAATCACCTCAGTAGACACATACCACTTTTAGAACATAATCAACTATTAAAATGTAATGACTCTGTTGCTTAAATTTTTGCTTCAGAGTCAGAGACAATGTATTATTTTTCAAAAGCTAGTCAGCTCCACCTTTGTAGGGAGAAACAGCCACAGACAGTATGTAGATATATGAGCCTGGTTCTGTTTCAATACAATTTGTTTCTTGCCTTGTAATTTTAATATCGTGTAATTCGCATGTGCCATGAAACGTCCTTTTGATTTTTTTTCAACTACTTAAAAATGCAAAATTCGTTCTTGTGTCATGAACTATACAAAAACAGGTGGTAGGCCACCTCTGGCCCATGGGCTGTTGTCTGTTGACTCCTGCTCTAAGACCATTTGTTGAAAAATGTTAAGGGATGTGGAGAAGCTCTGTGTCATCATTTCATTCATACCTTTACAGAATTACTTTGGAGACTGTATAGAGAGCAAGTGTAGTGCAGGGGGCTGTGAACGTCAATGGAGAGGCATGTGAGGATGCTGGAGCAGCGGTCCAGCAGGATGGTGAGCTGGATGAGGGTGGCTGTGAGATGTCTGGACATCTGCCTCTGTGCATAAGAAAACTAATGAGAATTCAGATGCTGTGGTGTTCCAGGCCCTGCACTGGGACCTTCCGTAATCTCCTCTCGATTTGAAGCCAAGTGCAAATCTCCACTTTCCATTAAACGTTCCTATTTCCAGCTCTAAAAGCGATGCCTGAAATTCTTGCCATTCTAGTCCCCCATTTTAGTCACGGCTTTGTCCCCAGAAAGCTCTTGTTACCTGGGAGATTGATATACTCAAAGATTGAAGGAACCAAATATTGTAGTTTTTAATTTGTCTGATAATTTGCCTGTAGTATTTGAAAATAGAAAGCCTGGACTAGAAGCAAGGAGTGATGCATTTTGAGTGGGTGAAGTCAGGGAAGGCTAGAGCACAGTGTCCTTCCTTGAGGAAACTAGGGTGTGGGTGGGACCAAGGAGAGGCAGTTCACATTAACTGTTACGTGTCCCTGTACATTGAAGTCCTAACCACCTCAGAATGTGACTGTATTTGGGGATAGATGCCCCCCACCCATTTTCCCTTTGGCTGGGTGATAATTGGCCTTATTTATTTGATGGAGGTACTGGGGATTGAGCCCAGGGCCTTGTGCATGCTGGGCATGGCACTCTGCCACTGAGCTATACATCCCCTCGCCCTCACCCCGGAGACAGGGTCTTTAAAGAGGTAATTCGGTTAAAATTAGTTCATTCAGGGCCCTACTCCAGTGACTGCTGTCTTTGTAAGAAAAGGGGATTAGGACACAGGCAAACACAAAGGGAAAACCACATGAAGACTCAGGAAGGTCCTTCTACAAGCCACGCAGAGAGGCCTCAGAAGAGACCTTGACCTTGGACTTCGGGCCTTCGGAAATGTGAGGAAAATAATTATCTGTTGTTTAAGTCATCCAGTGTGTGGCATTTTGTTACGGTGGCTGTAACAAACAGAAACACTCACCAAAGGCAGGAGCGGAAGTGTTGCTTATTTTGCAGAGATTCTTTGGGCCAGTGTTGATTACGACTGTAATTTTGCTGAATGCTGTTAGGGCTAGGACATTGTAACATCTTTTATGACTTTAAGATACATTTTCTTTAACTCTGTGCCTGTAGGAGGCACATGAAAGCTGGAGGGCCCGTTGAGGAGGCACCGTGGAGTGCTGGACTCAAAAAGTATCCTGAACACGTTCACGCTAAGAGACTCCAAGTCCCCATTTGTCAGGCTCAGCAAAATGGCTGGAATGACACTGCTGTTCTATGTCAAAAGAAGGGTATGTCTTAGCTTCGTTTCACCGTTAAAGCTGATTCTAGGATTCATTTACACTATCCTTCTATTCTGCACTTTTAAGTCTGTGGCTTTTCTAAGTAAAATATGAAAAATCCTTTGCAATTTAAGTTCTGTTGAAAATTACAGCTACAGCAAGCTCACCTCCTCCAAATCTTTTTTCTCTCTCAGAGTCCTCTCATAGGATTAAAAAAATTTTTTTTCTTTTTATCAAAACCTATGACTGTTGGGGAGGGAAATAGCTCAGTGATAGAGTGTGCTTAGCATGCGCAAAGTTCTGGGTTCAATTTCCAGTACTTCCATTAAAAAAATGAAACAAAACAAAACAAGAAACTCGGGAAAAACAAAAACCAAAAAACATGTCACTGCGACGTGAGATTATCATATTAAATGAGGTGAGGCAGACAGAGAAAGACAAATATCATATGGTATCACTTATATGGAGCCTAAAAGAAATGATACAAATGAACTTATTCATAAACTGGAAATAGACTCAGACATAGAAAACAAATTACAGTTACCAAAAGGGATCAGGGTGGAGGGAGGGATAAATTAGGAGTTTGGGATTAACATATGCACACTACTATTTATGAGATAGATAAACAACAAGGACCTGCTGTAGAGCACAGGAAACTATATTCAATATCTTGTAATAACCCATAATGGAAAAGAAGCTGAAAAAGAAAAAAATATATATATGTATATGTATAACAGAATCACTTTGTTCTACACCTAAAACTAACACAGCATTGTAAATCAACAATACTTCAAAAAAAAAAATCCTCCAAATAACAACAACAAAAAAACCCCACATATGACTGTGCAGCTAAGTGGTTCAGTTCCCTACTCGCTCCTGGGGCTGCATGGAGGTAGAAAAAGGAATCTGAAATAAGGGAAAGGACAGCCTCAGAGCCTGGGTGGATTATTCGCCTTTACCTCTGTGTCCCAGCTCCGTCCTCTGCCCCTGCATGTCTTATGTTGCTCCCTGAGAGTTGACCTCAATGGACCACATCACTTAAACTCTTAACCCTCTGCTTTCTGGTTGGCTGGTCAATGCCAGGCACTAGCAGGGAG